TTTTCTCCGAACGACCAGAAAACTCTGGATTTATCTGATCAAGTATAATTAAAGGACAATGGTTAATGTTAAAAATTAGAGTTTTTAAATAGGTTTTAAATTTATGGACTTTTAGTGGAATTGGAGGGAAATGCAAACAGATTTGAAATGCTTGAGGTGGCGGTGGGCCCCATTCCATTTAAGTCCACTTAAGCCACCTAAGATTCACTATTCATCATCCACTTCCCTTCCCTTTTTCTAGCACAAACCCGCGGCCATGGAGGAGAATAGGAGCAAGCTTCAAGCTTTGATTTCTCACACAATACCTAACCAAAATCCACAAAGTTTGTCACTAAATTTCATGTAAATCATCATCCCAATACAACCATACTAGTATTAGGCCTTGAAAACCAATAGATTGGGAGAAAAATGCTACCCTATTTGAGGAGAATTGATGTTCATGGAGTCATTTGGCCTTCCATTGCTTGGATATGTCTGGGAGGAGTCTTAGGCCTTGATTGTGAGTATGTTTCTACATCATTTCTATGGTTAATTTGGTAGATCATATTTATGAACCCTAGACTTTGTTTTGTTGATTTGTGCTGTTAGGGAGCTCAAATGGAAAATGTGTATTAGATGATAATGTCTTAGAATGATGTGTTAGAGCTAGAAATGCCATGAAAATTATTGATGAAAATTGTGAAATTTTAACTTCGAAATTTTTAGGGTGTCGTGACTGAGTTTTGAAAATGTTTAAGATTTGATTGGCGAGTTGTTGTATGATTGTATATGTTGATATAATGAGATTGTATGAGGTGTAGAGTGGTTAAAATTGAGTGAAAATCCCTTGGAATTGCATAGGTGACAATTCGGTCATTTAGGGAATTTTAGGGATTTGATGTTGTTGGTATTGCTTGGATGATGAATCATGTGTTAAATGGTATTTAGATGGGTTGTGTGGTGGTTGGAAGGTTGGAAAACCAATAGAAAAATACTTGGTAATGTTGAGTGTGTATTTGGACATAGAACAAAATATTAAGCAAAACGACGTTTAAAAGACGTAAAACGAAAAATGACACTTGATATGGCCTTTCGGCAACCTTAGGATGCCTAATAAAATGAGAAAGAAAATTTAGAAAAATAAAATGAAAATTTCCACTTGGATGGCCGAACCTACAAGGGTGTAGGGGAGGTTTTGACATTTTTCGTATTCTGATGGAATTGTCGTGTACTGACGAGTCGTACATGGTTGTTGTAGGTTGCCGTAAATTGAACCCCGAACCGTGAGTCGATGGATTGCCCTTGGTCCTGGACCAAGTGGGATTGAGGTAAGTGATTGAATCATGCTTGTATAATTGGTAGCTGGCATGTGTTCGTATGAGTTTTGAGTAATTGGGAATGTCCTCTGTGTAGGCATTCTGTTGAGTAACGATCTCGGAGAGTATACTGCTGTGGAGCTAAGTGAAGAGGCTTATTAAGGTAACCTCTTGGTACTGGGGCTTGATCCCCTTGTGTGATCCACCATGCCCGTTGAGGGTGATGGTAGGAAGTGTATGTAAGTAATGTAGAATAACATGTTTATGCATTTATTATGTATGTTAGTGGTACACTGGATGTACCGAGTCTCTGGCTAGTAGACAGTTTTGCCTTCGGGCGTTTTGGACTTCCACTGGATAGGTCTCCGAGAGGGAGTTCCAGTTGACCTAGGGTCGTGGTGTGTGATCAGGATAGGAGCACACTAGGAAGTCTCGGGTGTATATGGATGGGAGGGGTACCTTGGTTGGATGTTCTTGGAACACGCCTTGGACGAGACCCGTAGGCTTATATGCTGAGCCATTAGGCAGGACGTTGCGTGGTTTTGGTAGCTACCATTCCAGCTTCGTCTTATTTTGTATCCCTATATCCCCCAGTTTCTTGCTATATCCCGTTTTTAAAGATGTTATTGTATATTATTTATATGCATCGAAGTGAGCCATTGGGCGGAGTTTTCTCCAGAACCTCTGGGTTACTGAGATATATTCGTATATCTCACCCCGTCTTGGGGGCTTTATTTCAGGAGGTAGCAATGGTACAGGAGCGGCGGGCAAGAAGCCCGTAGGATGAGTGTTGGAGGACATTTTTATATTTTGCATTTTGATGGCCATTGGGCCTAGGCTAGACTTAGGGCATGAACATTCCATATGTATGTAGGAGAAGATTCATAGTCATATTTGTTCATGTCATTTTGCCTAAGTCTAGTTGTATATGTCATTTAAAGTTCATGTTTCAAGTTGTAATTTAAGTTATGAAATTGTAAGTTGTAATATGTAATTGAGATATTGTAATTGTACCATGGATACTTGATGTAATATGATGGAAGGGCTTTAGGCCTATTTTAGGATTATGATTATGTGAATGCTTAGAAAATGCATGTAAATGGACTTTGATGATTGAAACGTATTAAGTATTAATCAAGTGAGCAGTGTGACATGAATTTTGTAATAACTATAAACTGAGTTGGGTTGTAAGTGCCTCAAGGAATTGTTGGTCCTTGTGTGTGCCACCCATTGGTTATTAGGTACATTTGAGGTATTAGAAAGCATTTGCAAATTTGGGGATTTTGGTAAAAACAAAGGAAACTATGGCGAAATATCTAGAAATTGGCATATTATAGGTGAACTTTGGGAGAGCATATCTCCCTCCACAAAGGTCCGATAGGGATGTACTATATGCCATTTTGAAGCTTGAGATGTTTTCTATCTTGTGGAAAAATTTGATAGAATTCTGGTTTGAACGTTGTCCTGTAGAAGGAAAAGAGTGCAGACTGCCCATTTGCTCACTGCACTTGTGGCAGTTCTGGACTGGGTTTGGGAAATTTATTCCCATTTAGTTTCTTAGTAAAATTAAGTGTATGATATGTCAAATTGAATATTGAGGTGTCTAGTTTGATGTATAAAAATTTGAGAGCAATTGATTGAGTGGAGTTTCTGAAGTAATTCGTGGAGTCAGGGATGTTTGGAGCTGTTTTGGGGTTGACTGGCAGCTTTACTTGTCCAACTTCAAACGGCGATATCCGGAGCAAACGAGATCGAAATAACTCGTGTGATATCTTCCTAGAAAGGTAATTGAGTGTAAAATAACATATCAAAAGATGGGAGGCTTGTAGAATGCAGTTTGTCCGCAGAAAATATAAATACCAAATCATGTTCGGATAGGTAGAAAACGTAAAATTGAGAAATTAGCTAAGTGGGTTTATGAGAACCCCTTAGTGACTTGTAGTAACTAAAATAAGTTATAAAAGTAGTCTAAATAAGTATTCGGCAAAGAGTTTACAGTTACGGTCACAACTTTTAATTATTACGCTTTTTATTGTTTTAAATGCTCGCGTAATAAACGGAAAAAGTTTACTCGCATTTTTATAAATGAATTGTTGTGATTGTAACTGCGCTTAATACCATAATTAATGTTAACAATACCGATGTACAACGGGCTGTTACACCCATCCACGCTACCCACAGGTAACCTCTATAAATACAAGGTAAACCGTAAAGGTACGTTACGCTCTCTCTTACTGTTATGTTGTCACTGTGCGCACACACACACCCCATTGGCTAACGCCGTTATAGTATTCTGTGCACACTGATCTGCTTGACTCAAGGGTATCTCCTTCATAGATACCTTGGAGAGGGCACTAGATACAAGAGAAATATACCAGCCTATTGGGCTGGACATCTCTGTCACAAGGACAGAACAACTATATTTTTTTATCAGATGTACAAAAAAAGGTAGTAATTTTGTAGAGAGATTTAAAAAAAAAATCTAAATTTTTTTGACTGAATTTGTTTTCCGTTGAAAATCTTTACATCAGTTTTCAACAGAAATTTATTGATTTTCTGTCGAAAGTTTTGACAGAATCCATTTTCCGTCAAAAACCATTACAACAATTTTCGACGAAACTTCATTGATTTTCAGTTGAAATTTTTCGACAAAAATTTTTTTCGTTGAAAATCCTTACATCAGTTTTGATGAAAATTATTTGATTTTCCGTCGAAAGTTTTCGATGGAATCCGTTTTTCGTTGAAAACCATTACAACAATTTTCAACGGAATTCCATTACTTTTTCGTCGAAATTTTTTGACCGAAATAAATTTCATCGAAAAAATTGTTATCGGCGAAGAGAAATTCGACGACCTGAATTTCGTCAATAATTTGATCGAAAATATCATTTTTGACGAAATTTTCACAATTATGGACTTTTCTAGTAGTGTTCTTGTTTCTTGTTCTTGCTGGCTTGTGGTACACATAGTTTATATATAGCATGTATTTATTATTTTTGAGATGTTAAAAATACAAGGAATTCGAAAACTTTGTGAAATGAAGGTATAAATAAACTTATATAATTATTTTTATGATTATATTATTGAAACAGATAGGATTATTAAATTAAATGATGTTTTACCTAACTTACGAGCCGCTCACTACCCAAACATGGGTTCTAAGAATCATCCACCCAGGAACTTGTACTTAGATAAATAGATAATGGGAAATATTACTCTCCTTTTACATGAGGTAACTTATCTCATTTTCTCTCACATCGATTTTCGCACCCCACTTTTTTCTTCTTTTTCTTTTTTCTTGTAATTGTGGGACCCACTCATTTTCTCTTTACCACATAAGATAATTATCTTATGTGGAAGGAGATTAATAAAACCCATAGATAATCCATGATAACGGGATCGAGTTTGTTTCTAATAAAATATATTTTTCAGTACTACTCGTGTAGTATGTACTTCATTACTAAAATTTGAAAAAATAATATAACTTTAACTAGGTAAAATAAAGAAAATGCTCCTATTTTCCAACAAGTTCTTTCTTTCACATTCTCCAATTTTGCAGGTCAAATGGGATCATGACATGACATAAATAAATTCACTTCCATAGAGCTCCTAATTATAAATGCAGTGTGCAAGATAATATTAATCCTGTCAAAATCTTACTTCATCAATTTTATATAATCGCTTGCTGAATCAAGAACCTCAGCGTCAAAATGGTCCTTCAGGGCCTGTACAGTTTGCAACACCTGCCCTGGAGATATCCACCTGTGAAAACAAATTGCGAATTGGGAACAAGGTTAGATAGATCAAACACAACAGTCTTAATCAAAAACAAGGTGGGGCAAATAAAGAAAACGGAACATTTTTAGTCAGGTTGCGAGCAGTACATCAGGCAGATCTTCAGCAATCAAGTACTCCTTAATTGTTGTTGTGTACTCATACATCTTGTTAGTAATTCCCTCCGGTGCAGGTCCACCATTTTCCATGTTATACCAAAATCCTGCATAATGGAAACCAAACAGTTACATTCATTCAGAGTCAATTTTTTTTTTTTGATACATTTCAGAGGCAATTTTACAAGCAACAATGTCTTGCCGTAACACCATACAAGAAACTTACATTTGAATTAATTCATTGATTCTATTTCTTTAAATACCCAGCCTAAAATCCATTTACTTCACAGATTCACCTTTCAAAATACCCAACTGTCCCTCTAGCATTTCTAGCAGCATCATTCCATAGCTATAAAATCAGATTTATGTGAAACACCACCAAAATTTTTATTCCACACTTCGGGAGCTACATACCCAGCTGCCCCTCTAGCATTTGACATTGAAACAATGCTATTATCCCTTGTGCTGAGCTTAGCAAGCCCGAAATCTGATATCTTTGGGCTATAAGTTTCATCCAGAAGGATATTATGTGGTTTAATGTCAAAATGCAGAATCCTAGTGTTGCATCCAGCATGCAAGTACTCAAGTCCTCGAGCTATCCCTATTGCAATCTGGTATAAGTTATCCCAACTCAAGGATGGAGTAGTTTCAGTTGCCTTGTTGTGATTTTTGTTATGGACCAATAAGTAGGGGTGTGCAAAAAAACTGGTTCATTTGTCCTGCCGTTGACCTGACCCATAAATACTTATTTTTTTTAACTGGTTTAAATACTGACCCACTTTTATTTGGGTCAGTTTTAGACCTGACTTGTTTTAATAATGACCCATTGACCCAAAACTTGACCCACACCCATTATGTGAAAAAAAAGAAAAAAAAACACAATTACATTAAAAGAAATGTTTTAACGTAAAACAATTACGTCAAAAATTTTTGCAAACTTTTTTGACAAAAAAGATTTTCCTCAAATTTGTGATGAAAAACATTTATGTAAAAAAATTTGACGCAAAATTGTTTTTGTCAAAAAATTTTACGGAATCTAAATTTCGTCAAAATATTTCACAAAAAACATATTCATCAAAAATTTCGACAAAACACATTTCCATCAAAATTTTGTTACAGAAAAAATTTTCATCAAAATTCTTTACAAAATTCAAATTTCGACGGAAACATTTTTCGTTAAACTTTTTGAGAAAAAAAAAATTTCGTCAAAATTTTTAGCGAAAAATATTTCCATCGAAAATTTTCGACTAAATATTTTCGTCAAGTTTTTTGATTAAAAAATAATTTCATCAAAATTTTCAACGGAACACATTTCTGTCAAAAATTTTCGTAAAAATTTGTGAAAAAAAATATTTCGATAAAAAAATTTGACGGAAAAAATATTCTGTCAAAATTCTTTAGAAAATCTAAATATTGTCGAAAGTTTCGAATGAAACATTACCCTCAAAACAATTTCCGTCGAAATTTTCGTCAGAAAAATATTCCCATCAAAATTTTGAACGGAAAACATTCCGTCAAAATTTTTGACGGAATTCTTTTTTCGTTTAAAACATTTGATGGAGGAAATCATTTTCATCAAAACTTTTGACGGAAACTAAATTTCGATACAAAATTTATTTTTGTAAAAATTTTTATTAGAGAAAAAATTTCGTCGCTTTTCGACAAAAAAATAATTTTGTGACGAAATTTTCGTCGTTTGCAACGTAGAAATTTTGACAAAATTTTGTGACGAAACTAAGTCAAAAACGGGTCAGGTCAGATTTGATCCACTTCAGAAACCAAGTTAGGTCAGATCCGAACCAGTTCTGAACTACTTCAAAACAAAACAAACCAAGTCAGACCTGTCTTGGATAAAATTAAAGCGGGTCGGGTCAAAATACCTGACCTATAAAAACCAAGTTGAGTCGAGTCGCACAAAAACCTGACCTGACCTGACCCATGTACACCCCTACCAATAAGGGCGTTGGAGATGCAACTGATGCTAGGTCAGGTGAAAACATCGTCGTCTCAACATCCACGGTGGACCACTCAAATTCGCGTCAGCAAACTAACGTACGTGCCAAGTGTGCACCGTTAGTTAGGCCGTTGGATGAGATTTAACAGAAGGACTAACGTGGCCTGTTTTTTGTAATTTAAGGGACCACTATGTCCCTTTTTTATATCTAGGGACCAATAAGGGCTTCGTGGATATTGTCAGGGACCAAAAAAGATATTTACTCTTTATTTTATCTTCCTTCTAAATTCTTTTTGGGAATTGAGAGGATTAATGAAAGATAATTTAGGAATTTTATTTATTTTTTATTATATAAATTTTATCAAAATACAATTTCTTAATTCCCCCAACATTCAAAATGACATAGTTTTAATGTTACTAGAGATAATTTTACCCGATCTTTATTGATGGTGGTTACATGTGACAAATATAATAAGTGTTACTTTTGTAGTTACTTTTGTGCTAAGGGCAAAAATACTAGTGAAAGCAAGAATTATGGTATAATATCTGATGGTTGTTGGCGGTAGTGGTTAAAAGTGTTTATTAATTTGAATTCTAAAGTGGAACGTTAAATTCCCGAGAAATATTGTTAGGAGATATTTGATAGGTGGATTATTTTCAAATGTATGGGAAATTGAGGGTGGGTTTTCAAGAATCTCATGTTTGGTAGCACATTGAAAAAAAGAAAAAAGTTTTGGAAAGTGATTTTTCTGGAATTTTGTTTTCTATGAAAAAGTGGAAAAAAATTTCAACGGAAAAAATATCATCCAACATATGATATTTTACAAAGGGTTTTATTAATCTCCTTCCACATAAGATAAGATAGTTATCTTATGTGGTAGAGAGAAAATGAGTGGGTCCCACCATTGTAAGAAAAAAGAAAAAGAAAGTAGAGTGCAAAAATCGAAGTGAGAGAAAATGAGATAAGTTACCTTATGTGAAAGGAGAGTAATATTTCCCTTTTACAAATCTCATGCAATAGGAAAATTTATTAATTTTTTCGGACAAAATTAGCCATCGTATTCAGCCCTTCGTTCTAGTTCACCTTCCTTTTGTTCTGAATGTGTTGTCAAATACTTAGATGAAAAAAATAATAATGAAAAAGCTGCCCTCTGGAAAAGCATCGACGAGATTGTGGAGATAAAATAGTAGGGGTGTTCGCGGTTTGAATTGGATCAATTTTGGAAGCAAAATTCATCCGATCCAATCCCTTCGATTTGATCATATAATTATCCATTTGGTTTAGATTTTTTTTCAAATCCGATCCGATCCAATCCAATTTTTTTGGTTTGGATTAGATCAGTTTGCGATTTTTTTTAAATCCTAAAATGGCGGATACAGAAGCCAATTTAGCAAACAACAAACAGAACCACTCCTAAAATGGCGGTGAAACAATCTTCCTCTGATTTCTGGAAACTGAATTTGAACAAGACTACATATTTCTATGTGTGTGTTTTTTTGTTTGTTTCGGTTTAGGGGTTGGTTAGTTCTATAACATGACTCACATTTTCAATAATATTTTACAATTAATAAAATATAGTATCACGAAAATTAATCCAATATTTTTGGAAAATTCACTTTCCTAATATATTCCTCAAAATCGTAATTCCTAGATAAAAAAATTCTGATATAGTAAATGATAATGTGATAATAATTTCATTGGAAGAGAAAATGCTATTAATCTCGATAAAGAAATACACTTCAAGTTTGAACTTTGAAGTCACTTATGAGCCAATTCTTACAGTTAGCAATCTTGATTTTCATAAGATAATCAAACATTCTATCTTTATTTATGCTTCTACAGATTCATTCCTTTCTTACCCTTTGACTGGAATTTTGCAGGTCAATTTTTGATTTTGAAACTATCAGGAAGCCGTTGTCTTCTCCTAAGTTCACATTCTGGTATACTTTGTGGATGCTGATTTAACTGTGATGTAGATTGTAGAATATTCCTCTTCTTTGTTCTTTTCCTCTTCCCTAAACATAATGGTAAATTTTCTGTATTGGACTACGAAATAGTAAGGATTTGCATTGAATTCAACACAGATTTGAATATTTATAATTGTTGGTATATATTGTACTGGTGACCAAAAGTTCTTGATCTGCCGTTGGTTGTTGAGCTTATTTCATAGCAACTTGATCTTTTGTATAATTTCATCTCTTGCCACTAGTTTTACCTATATAGTTGTGGTTGATGAATGTTTAACTTTACCTTTTCCGATTGCATTTAACATATATAGTTGTGGTTGGTGGAAGTATCATACAATGATTTCATGATTTAGAAAGCTGAACTTCAGATTGTTGTACATCCATGTCTTCTGGTTTAACAAATTTGATTGTATAGAAATCCTCTGATTTCATGTCCCTGTTTTTCTTTAGTAAGGGACCAAAAAAGGCCTCGTGGTTTTTGTCAGGGACCAATAAAGGCGTTGGAGATGCAACTGATGCTAGGTCAGGTGTCCACACGACCATGGAGATGCAACTGATTTTCAAAACGTCGTTGTCTCAACATCCATGGTGGACCACTCAAATCCGCGTCAGCAAACTAACGTGCCAAGTGTGCACCGTTAGTTGGGCTGTTGGATGGGATTTAACAGAATGACTAACGCGGTCGATTTTTTATAATTTAAGGGACCACTATGTCCCTTTTTTATTGCTAGGGACCAATAAGGGGTTCGTGGATATTGCCAGGGACCAAAAAGGGTATTTACTCTAAAATAAATAAGTTACTTTCTTAGTAAATAATGTACCTAATTTTCACTTAACAAAAAAAAATGTACCTAATTTTCAGCACTACAAGATTCCAAAAGTATTTTTCCTCTCACGTGGGGGTGACCCCTCCATGGGTCCCTGCTTAACTACGGTAGAGGAACAAGAAATGGTTCTCTCGTCATAGGACATCAGCCTATTAACAAGCCCTTCTTCACATTATGTTAGTGTTAAAAAAACTTCCATACAAACTACTGTCATTAATATAAATAATTATATTCTAATGCACTGATATGGAATTTGATATGGTACAAAGAATAATGCAGAGGGCATTGCGCAAGCAACTTTGGGTTATAAGGATAGCGTTTTGTTGGCCAGGGAGATGCTATCAGTAACGGGGTCAACCAGCGTAGCAGAAGGGAGAGTCTTATTGTTTGGACTTTTCCACCTTTGGATTGGATTAAGATTAACATTGACGGGGCCAGCTCTACTAATGGTTTTAGTTCTGGCTGTGAGGGAGTTCTTCGAGACAGCTCCGGGGACATGATAACGGGATTCTTAAAAATTTGGAAAGTGGTACATACGGCTTTGAACGCAGAGCTTTGGGCGATCCTTGTAGGTTTGGAGGTTGCTTGGTTCAAAGGATTTAGAAATGTTTGGCTGGAAGGAGATTCTCAATTAGCTCAGCAGCTCACCTTGAGGGAATACAGTTCATCCCATCCTTCGTATGGTTTGATTCTTCGCATCAGGATATTGCTTGCCAAAGATTGGAATGTTAAGATTTCGCACATCCACCGTGAGGGTAACGGTGTGGCGGACTGGCTGGCAGCGTACGCCAGCAATTTTTCTTGGCCTATCTGTTGTTTGATGATCCTCCATCTGGTGGTTTGCACCGCGTGCTGAGTGTCCAAATGGGAGTTCACTGGCCTAGGCTTGTTCCTAGTGTGTTTTAGTTTTGCTGTTTTGTCCTTTACTTTCCTTTTGTTTCCACACAAAAAAAAAAAAAAAAAAAAAAACTATCCAGCTGTACAACATGCATGATTAATCTACAGATGTATTTCCTTGAATATTGACTCCAAAGCTACATTAGCTTTCAAAATCAAAATTGAAAATTTTATGAGTAGTAGTAGAATATGAAGGAGAATATCAAGCAAAACTTATGTCAAGTGCAGATAATTTCCTCCAAAAGATCATAAAAAATAAAGTCATCTAGCTCAAGCCCCACAAATTCAGAATCAAATTGAAGATTCATCCACCCATCATTTTTTGCTAGATCTCTGCTCACATAGTAATCCAATGAAGGGTAAACCTCAGATGTTGAGTTCAGATACCAGCTAATAAGTGTCCATACTTTATGGAGAACATTGTCTCCTGCTGGCAATGGATGAACATGGCAGAGCGAAGACAAGGGTCTGGGATAATAGTTGTATGATCTCCCAAAAATCTCCAACAATCCCTCATTGATTATATCAAAAAGAAGTAGATGATTACATTGTCCACCTTCATCACAATTACCAGAGCAATCAGGATCCAGAAGCAAGCAACCTTCCAATTCTTCATACACTGAAGGATCAACTGGTTGGTCATCAGAATACCATATCCCAAGGGATTGATTGCCAGTGAAACTAGAGAGCTCCAAAACCTTTCTAACATAATTAAATGCAGCTTCATTACTTGTATCCACTTCAATACATGGAATTTCATAGTTGAAGCGTTTGCTTAGAGTTCCAAGGTTCTGAAAATTCTCTCCATTCTCAACCACCTCCTCTTGTTGCTCAGCCATATTATCCAATCCATCATCCGGCCCTGGCTTTAATTCTGAAATTGTTTCTGTACAACCATCATTATTAGAGGGACCAATTAAAACAAGAACCATGGTGAGAGTAACAGGTTGATTTTAGAATCAATTTAAGAAGAATCAACAAGACAAGCCATGTAACTACGTTCAGGTTGTAAGTTTATATAGGAATTTTATAGTTTTAATTTTTGAAAAGAAATGAACAATTCCTTTAAAACTAAGCTGGCCATTCACCAAAACATTAAGTTAAAGCTATAATTTTTAAGCATTTCAAGTATACCATGTATAATAGGACAAGTATATGACTTCTTCCACATTGGTAACCACACATTGGTAAGGATAGAATCCAACAGATCAACATCAACAACAACATTTTTATCCTAAACTAGTTGGGATCAGTGTCAGATGAACCCAAATGAAAAATACAAAAGAATTGAGTAAAAAAAGATAAAAATAAAATTTTAAAAAAATATATAACATTGGTGAATATGACAGAATCCAACAAATACAAAATAAAATTTCATTCAAGCTCCAAGACAAGTGTATGACTTACACTTTTATGCTGAAATTCTTCCACTTTGAATATGAAAACCACACCATCCATTATATACTAACACAACTTGTTCATGCAATTAAAATATTAGACAAGAAGACTACCAAAAAAAAAAATATTAGACAAGAGTGTGTTCACACACACACACAAACATGCACACACAATTGACATAAAACTTTGATTGTGTTAGGGATGATATATTGCAACTTTCAAGTATAAAAGGACCAAATATAATATACCTTCAAGTTCGTTTAACGTCTCAAATTCAAATGTATCATCTAGGAAGCTGTCAGAAGAGAACACTGAGTTTGCTTCAACTAGCATAGTAGCAGATTCTGTTGCAGGTCCAGCATCCTGTTCATTGCAAACAGGTTGACCACTGTCTCTCAAGTTTTCTAAACCATCAATTCCTATGATTTTATCTGCCTTTGCCTCATCATCAACATTTAACCCTGATTTAGAAGCACTTCTGAGAAAAAGTTGCTTTTTGTCAGCATTCAAGGTGCTTTCTTGATTTGTGTTATCAGCAAGTGTAGGTGGCAAAATTTGACTCTCTGAGTCTTCATTAGCGCCAATCCTCCTCTGCTGATCGGTAACACTTGTGTTTGTGGTTCTATCTCCATATTTCCTTATTGAATCCTGGGGAGATAAAAGAACAGGAGGCTCTTCACTCTGCTGGAAGTAAGATTTTAGATTAGGTAACGAAAGAAACCTTTTAAAGGATTTTGGGGTCTTTAGTATTGAACTTCTCTCTTCTGTTCTCAATCTTAAGCTATCAATTTTTGGAAACTTGACTTCACTGTTGAAACATGTCTCATACAGCTGAGAATATCTACCAACTGATTCTTTTAGAGATGAAGTCCTCATGGCTGATAGTTGACGCTTGTTGAAGGAATTAGAGAAACGAGTACCATAACCACTTGTGGCACTGTCTTTTCCTTCTTCATTAATTGTGGGGTCTTTGGATTTGTCATGGATATACTTCCTTACATTCTTGGAAAGCCTATTTCCATGAGGAATTTTGTCAAGTATCGCATCCTTGGTAATGCGATGCTTCTCATTTTTGCTTTCTTCAATTATATGCTTTAACTTCTTTCTAAAATCCTTGAAATGCTTAGCTTTTACATGGTTGGGAACCTGGGACGAAACTGTTGAAGAATTAGAATCTCTTTTAGTCCATTCTTTCTCTTGATTGAGGAATTGATCAACTTTTTGTGAAGAACCTGAAGACTGAGACATGGATACGTTTTGCATCTGACTTTGAAGTTGTAACTGTGTCTCCTCCCCTTTTGCATTGAACCAGTCATCTACCATCTTGTTTATGAGTTGGCCTGGCTCAGGATCTTTGCTTCCTGATGATGAACCAGATACAGGAAATGAGATAGATTTGGCTCGTCTTGATTTACTACCAAAAGACGGTTGATTATGAATGTTGAATGGCAAAGGAGAACCTGGATCCTGTATATATTTTAATAGAAAATCCTTGTTTGTGTTGATTACATCAAGAGCATCAAGAAAATCCTTGAAAAGATGGGGTGAAGCATCAGTTGTAAGAATCTTTGCATTCATCAACTTCTCTTCTGGCACACCTTGATCAGAAGAGCTCAAGTTTTTGGTATCTGTACATTGCTTATGATGTTTATGAGTCTTGCAATGTTCCAAATTGTCACTAGAAAACATTGTACCACAGTCTACACATTTGTCATGGTTGGTAATTGGTTTCTCAGAGAAAACTGGTGACAATACATCCAATGTGCCCGCAGCAAGATGGTTTTGAAAGGTTTCCAGAACTGGTTCAGGACTCTCAACAGTTAATAACAGTTCACTAAGTGGATCAACCTCCAAGTGATGAACTGAATCGACACGTGTTAGTTGTGACTTTACAGGACAGGTTGAGCTTCTCTTATGTCTACCCTTCTTTCTGTATATCTCTTCAGGAAGAAATGCTTTTATTCGGGATTTGATAGAATGTTTGGTTGCTGGACTGCAGTTTATCAGCTTTTCTTCAACCTGGAAAACTTTAAATTAGATACTACTTTCACTATATGTCCCTTTAAGAACCTACTGTTCAAAAATAAGGAAGTAATGGCTCTAAAATCATTCAAAGTCAATATCTTGAATGACTAACATTCACCAACAATGAGAAAATGACATTTTAACCCAAGAATTGATTCAAGTAATAAGAAGTTTGTTCCCTTAACCAGAAGCTTGTGAGCCTTGTAAATAGAAAAAAATGGTTACTCTAGAGCTGGTCCCTATATGGATCCCACAATACTCGAGCCGGATTAGATAGATTTCTATGAACTGGTTGGGAAAAAAGGAAATTCTGGATGGAAAAAAATATTTATAATGGTTGATAACTTGACATAAAAGTCACTCAGGCCCAAAAATAAAATAAAAAATACAACACCATAAATTAATGAAAGCAACCAAAATATTCTCCTTTACTTACATTAGATAATTTTGTATATGGCCTATGATGTTTCGGCATATTATCAATCCCAGAATCATCAGAAGTTCCTGGTATGTCATGTCCTGCAAAGTGGAAGAAATTTATGACATCTATGAAGTGGAAACAGAAACTTTTGTAACATATCACCAATAGTAAAAAGAATGCACAAATGTGTATTATGAGAATAAACAAATGGTTCTGTACCGTTGAGAGCTGCAAACCCAATATATGTGTAACATCCCTCGAAATTAGGAAAACTAATACTGATGATTATGCTAATTTCGAATTTCATGGCTACTAATGGGGAATTAATATTAAGTTAGGAAATTATTGAATATTAGTAATAAGTAAGGAATTATTTTAGACGTATGAAACCTTAATTAGAAAGTATAGGAGCAAATTAAATGTAACACCTAGAACGTCTAAGGATAACTAGATGACAGGAGAACTAACTATAGAATGGATAAGTACATGTAGTAGTAGAACCATTGGGTTAGATTTTTGGACCTCCATTTCATGGCTTGGCCGAAGGCCCAAGGCTCTTGGGGAGCAATTGGGTTCAGCCCAAAATATTTCCTATCCTCACCACACTATAAGAATCCTACGTGTCAACTTATCTTTGGGATGAAATCCCCACATGGCAACACACTTCAGCCACCTTATATCTTTCTTCTATGTGCGCCGAGGATGTAGACTTGTGACCAGAAAATTCTGACTAAAGCTAATTGTTATGACACAAAGCAGTTCTCTCTCTTGTCACCTTTCTTTTCTACGCATAGGATACACCAAAAAAGCAACTTAGTTACTTGTTGGACTATCCAAATAAACTCAGCCTTACTACATGCAGCAAATTGTTGAAAGTGGCCAGCATTGCATGTAGTTTCATTGGACAAAAATGCCACACCATCTTACACCCCTTGTGCGCTCCAAGGGAGGAATAACTTAAAGATTATTTTTCTGATTCTGTGCTGGTTTTAAATCAGTCATATATGCCTCAATTCTTTATCTTCAAGCGCTGAATGACCAGGACCTTAGACCCAAGAATCTCTTTGTTAAGTGTGAACCTAGTTCCACCACTTCATCCTCTCTTTTTCCTTTTATACAAATCGGAACCTTAGTGACTAGTAGCATCAAAGGAAAAATCATCCTCTTCCTTTGTTTCCTCATGACCGAGAGAAGCTTTGAGATACTCTAAAGAAAAAACAAAAAATTTTATGCTACCCTCACTCCCTTTCACTTTGAGACCGTGGACTGTTGAGAACAAGTAGCAACAAGGAATCAATTTACTCACTGTTCAGCCGAGCTGTTTCAGCCTAGGAAGGTATAGTGAACGTTCCTTCTCCTCGATGTTCCCTACCTTGATCGTTTGATGAAAGCGTCCCCTTGCATGTAGGTTCCAACTCCAGCACATTTTTTCCCTTTCCCTGTGCGCGCAGTCAACAGCTTTAAAGGGCTGAACTTGTTGTTGTATTAGAACTTGGGAAGTCAAGGTGCTACTCCTTACCCAGTTCGGTTTCTTTGTGTGCTGGCAAGAGAGGTAAAGCCCAAAAACTTCTTTTCCCTTCTCTGTTCAGTCGTGAAGCATGATTAGGAATTTGTTCTTATTATTTTTAGTCTTGTTATTTTCCCATCTTGAGTACCTTGGACCCCTCTCTAAAAGTGTGAAGAAAATAAATTGGAAATACGTATTCATGATGTTTGGTCTTGGTAAAATAAATTCTGAATTGGTAAATTTTATTGTGAACTAAGTCTTAACTAAAAACTATAATACAGAATGGGTCTAGGTCCTCCTTCACGCCCTTTAGTCTTGTTGAGCTATATAAATTTGAATGAATTGTCATAAACTCTATATGTTAAAACCGATTCTGTATTAGTAAGCCTTATAATAAATTATTTTCTTGAGAAAACGTTGCTGAAGAATGGTTGTTATGCTCTCCGTTTGCTGGAAAATATTTTTAAACATCTTATTATATATTTAATAGCGCACCATGTATCAATAGGAGAAGAAAAATTGAAAGAAATTATTTGAGACCTTATATATGTTAAAAAACCGAACCTATATAAAATGTGAGTACTAGGATTTTTCACTGTTTATTTTAGAAGGGGGCTGTTGTATATTATTAAAATAAAAGTTAGAAATTTTTCCATAGGAAGCATAAAATACCGATTCTGTTTAGTGGAGTCATTAAAAGAATTTTTTTCACTGTTAAAAGTATCTAAAGGTTAAATTGGAGTCAAAAATAATTTTTAGAAAAGGAACATTATGGCCGAATATTATAGGGACTTTAAGCTTGGGTTTTGTTGAATAAATTGAATGTACACTGATTTATTATACTATATATTAGGTGCGAAAAATACTTGAGACGTTGGACTGTTTCATTGTGAATCGGTAAAGTAAGTTTCGACGTACGAGGTATGTGTTAGGTGGTATTACCTGATGTGACTATTAATTAGTGTATGAATTGTGAATTGTTGCTCACATGTGCCTTATGATTATTCTGCCATAAATGATGAATTATTCTACCTATGGAAATGTTATGATTATGGAAATTCAGTTATGAAAAGAAAGAATGGCTTGGCAGTATGGCATCCAATGTACATGAGGTATATATTATGAAATGATGATATATGCATGCACCGTACATCATACCGCATTTGTCTTTCTGTTCGTGTGTGACAGCATAGCATGGCATGCATGTACCAAATTCATGTTAGCCTTGCAATTTAGAATAGTTATATACAGGATCATGTGACTGAGCACGCATCATTTAGGCATCCCTCGGTACCAGGGTATGGGACACTTGGCATCCGTCTGCATAGGTCACAGTGGGATTCAATAAATGAGGGTGCCGTTGCATGGAATTCCCACTGTGTATGCACGCGCACGACGGTGCTATGAGCGTGAAGAAGGCGTTATATACACAATATGATATATGATGAAAAGGAACTATGATGAAAAGGATTTAATGTTTGTAGCGACTGTTTATAATTTTGTGCCTAGTTTAATACTGTTGCATTATTGGTTTTGTTGCCACACTACTGGGATTCTTCTCACCCCTTTGGGGCTGCTATTTTTACAAAATGGCAGGAGGACGGAAGAGCATTTGAAGACATGTTTAATTGGATATTTGCTGTTATTTGCTGTTGTATGGACTATTGTTGTTGCTGATGTTTGATGGATGATTGTATTCAATTGAGTAGCTTTGATTACAGTTGGATTATGATTTTGTTTCTATTTTTAAGACCTTTATGATCAGTTGGTAACATTGGAAAAATTCTGAAATGTGTGCGAAAGTAATCTCTGAACATTTTATTATATGCTGATTTTTAAACGGATTTGCGAGCACTTTGCGAGTTGTCGTTCTGGGGCTACGGACCTCCGATTAGGTATATTTTATATGGATGCAAAGCCCCAGCTGTGTACTTTCAGATTATGTAACCCTTACAATGAAATTTTGAAAACTCGAATTATTATAAATTTTACCAGTCAGGAGGTTTTTGGAAAATACACTGAATTTTTGAGGAACTTGCGAGTTCTGTTTCGTGGGGCTAGAGACCTCCGATTCGCGTATAATTTATATGTACGCGAAGCCCCAGATGTCTAGTTTCTTAGTAGCAAAGAAGATTTTTGTAAATTTTTGTACTCGGATTTTTTTGTAATATTTTCAAGACAGATCATTTTCGGAAAAAATCAGAATTTCGCAGCAAAAGCCTTTTTGAATTTTCTTGCTGTTTTATTTCTCCAAGTCAGTTTCTAAGCAAGCTTTTCTAATTGATATTAAATGAAAAAGCTTTTACTAAATGAGAATTTCACACGTTAACGTTAGTCTCTAATCCGCTTTGCAAACAACTCTCTTGGATGGATACAAGGGAGGGTGTTACAATATGTACCCTTGAGAGGGGTAAAGCTCACTATAGGGGGTATCGTTGCCAGCAAAGGTAGAGACCAAGCTAGACAATGACGTCCTAGGTATAGTATTCAGCAGTAAAAGTAGGGGGTGATGAGTTGCAGTGGAGGCTCATGAAATCGGGCAGGGTAACGATACATAAAGATCGGATCCCCTTGCTTGGTGAGTGGAGGGGTTATTTATAGGGGGAGGGGATGGCTTGCTCGCATGGGAGGGTGAGCCAGGTCAACTCTCCTTGGGAAATTCCGAGGGCGCCTGACATTGCTGTTGCAACACCCTTTGTAGTTCCTGTTATGCTGGTGGCAATTGTTGCTGCTGTAGCTGTGAAGTAGAAACATCTATTTATGGGGTCTGAGAGGCTTTCAAAGGAAGGTACATCCCAATGTAGGATATTTTGGTGTCTTACGTTGGAGAATCTGTCGTATGGGGACAAAAAGGGGGCAGAGTTGGTAAGTTGTGGTCAGTAAGGCTGACCCCTTACCAAACATGTGCAACTGCCCAAAGGAATAACACTTGCCTGCCATGAATGCAAAAGCCTAATCCAACACGTTCATCTCGGCCCCAAGACTTTGTTTGCTACCAAGATGGGGTCAGTAGGGTTGATGTGGATTAGTGGAGGGGGATTGGGCCTGCCTTAATAGGCCAACCAATTGGGGCCATCCAGAACAGGAGCCCCCAGCTTGGTAGCAAACGAAATCTTGGTGTCGAGATGAACATGCTAGATTAGACTCTTGCATTCATGGCGGGCAAGTGTTATTCTTTTGGGCGGTTGCACATATTTGGTAAAGGGAGTTTGGCATGCTGATTGTCCGTCATTTGTTAGTGTATTTGTTTTGGGTGATTAGCCCTAGGTGGGTTTATGGTTGTGTCTGACGATCAGGCCTCAAGGACTATATCTGGCGATCTGAATTCAAAACGTCAAATATGGTGGTTTGTTCTTGAAATGTTGCTTTTGGAAGTTTGTACTCGGAGTGTTGCATTTGGCGGTCTCTCATGTTTTGAGGACATGTGCTACTCATTGAATAGGGACAATTCCCCATTTTTTGGTAATTTGCAATGATGGATGCACAGGTTATTTCTACTTGTGTGCAGACAACTGAACGTTGAACATGCCGCATTAAATGTGATGTGGGGATTGTCTTGTCTTCTTGGGGAGACTATGGTCTCGCCCCTCATCTGGTCCAACATTTTTTGAACAGTTACCCAAATCGAACGGTCGGTGGATTTGCAGCGTCATTTCTAAAACCCTATTTAATGAGGGCTTCCCTTCTCATTGTAGGTTATTTCACATTTGCAGGGTTATTCTTCTCGAGTTCATATTTTTCATCTTTTTTCCTCTACATCTTTATCTTCTTAATAAAAATCAAGGCTTGTTCATTCCCTG